ATCATATTTTAAATCAGCTATTAATTTCATCTTATCTCAAACTACGGGTTTTACCCTTTTTTTGCATTACTCCACCAGGGGCTGTGGGGCGTAGGTGTTAGTGAATGGCTTCATGGTACTTAGTTGCTGTCTAGGGTTAAGCCACAACATTCTCAAACAATATCTGGAATAAAATTTGGATTATAACAGCTAGTGGAAGATGTCTATAGTGCACCGGTTATACATTTTCTGATTCTGTAGTGCAGTTAATGTACTTGAAGTACAAAATCACAAAAAAACCTTGATATAATCAAGACATCTATTCATGACATTCAGAAGTGTACTTCTAGTAGAATTACTCTTCCTTTTCTTAAAGGAGTAATTTAATTTTTCTATTAATTTCCCTGTTGCTATATAATCAACACTGGAACAAAAAGTTCTTGGTCCTTCTCTTCATTTGGTTCTTCATCTTCAAAGAACCACGTCAAAATATCTTGCCAGGGAATAAACATCAACTGGATTTTGTTTCTGCATTCAACAGATATCAGATTCTGCCAACTACCAGGCAGAATATGGGGAAATGATGCCAAATTCGTCCTTGACACACAACTGAGCCCATTAATAGTGATGTAGATTTATGGGTGTGTTGCAAAATATTTCGCATGGTCTCTTTAAACACCTATTCACATCAAACCAAAAGCTGCCATAAAAGGCTGATATATAACATTTGAAGTAAAATTGTACTATTGAAACCCCTCACTCAATTGTCCAAATGCCAATGCTATGGCATTTAAATGCTCCCACTTTGTCCTTATTCCCTTGAGCTGAGGACGGTCCTCCCACTGAGTGCCATGGCAGCAGAAGGAAAACCTCAGCCCGGGTGCTAACATTAAAAACAATTCTGACTTAATTAATTTCGACCAAAGATATAAAATAACTTCACAGTTCTTGTGTAATCAAAATTGAGAGGAAACACAGACTCTTTTCAGACTGCCTCTTTTACCTCTTGTTTTTAATCTACAGCATACTACTTGTGCTACCTGTTTTAGTCTGGGGGATGGTAACCCCTAAGTCTTTTCTGATGTGGAGATTTTCTCCAGTACCTGGGTGTTAAAATCCTTTGTGTTGTTGATTGTGATCTAACACCTGTTATTTCTGCAAAATAGCATGCAAGAGACAGGAGACATTTGCACGCACAGAGATACCATGAGCGATAACTCCAGTATCAACCATCTGCTAGACCCTTTGTTTACTGCCTTTCTTTGTACTGAAGTTCAAATATTTTGGAATGAATGCAGGGAAAATTGCACAAGTAACTCCCCAACTCAGCTTTAGTTTCTTTATGAACAACATCTGCAGAATATGATAGGAAACAAAAACATCTGTTTTGCTGTATTCTGCTTTTCTATTGATTCGTACACAAGCCTGAAGCTGGGCTGTTTGGGGTGTTCTCTCCTTGTTTATTATGTAAAAACCCCAGGCAAACTCAATACACAAAGGTAACACAATCAAAAGTGGAGCAGGTATTAGTAGGCCCACAGTAAGCCTGAATCATCTTCATAAACTCTGGATGAAGAGTCTTTCATATGGAAATGAAAGCTGAGCTACCTAAAGAGAGAAATCCCAAAACACCTCCATTTTTTAAGCGTAACAACATTGCTAATGGCAAGATTTACTGTAAAGTAGAGGGGAACTTTTGTCTGTATTGATTAGTTTCATCTGGTCTGTGGTAATTTAATGCATTGGATATATGCTTGTTTGCCTGGTTCTGTTGTGCTGGACTGTACTTCTCTTGGTTGATTAGTTTCATCTGGTCTGTGGTAATTTAATGCATTGGATATATGCTTGTTTGCCTAGCAGACCAGGATGCCTGGCTCTGTTGTGCTGGACTGTACTTCTCTTGAATATCAGGGAGATTCTGGGCAATGCCTGTGTGAGCTGGTGGGTGGCTGTGGTTTCCCACTGCCTCTATGAATGCATGTAAATTGAGGTAGATAGAATACTTGAAAATGAATCCTTTAAGAATTTTGGGTGGAAGGCATTATTTATCATTATTGTGGACCAAACACAGTTTTAAATAAGCCTCCTTGTGCATGCAGTGTTGAAATTTTCCCTTCATCTTACCAGGGCTTTCCCTCTCCCTCTATTCTCCCTCTCCTTGCTTAATCTTATACTCAACATTTCAAGAATTCACAGGGTGTGTAGGTCAGGCTGTCACTGCTCTTTTTAGTAAGAAGGGCCTCCTATACCCGTTAACAACTAAGGTGCATTTGTCTATACTGTTCCCACCCTTCTTTAGAAGGTCAGCTCTTTCACAGAAAAAAATCCCTTTTCCAAACTGACTGTCTCAGAGGGGTAAGACAATATATGACTCCGCAGCCCAGGGATGCAGATGCTCACCAAAATGGGATTGGTGTGTTTTCCATAAACCCCATCACACTAAAAGAATCACTGGACAAAGCAGAGCTGTTTGTGCCACATACAGCAGCAAGGTAATACATGTCCCCTCTATCTTACAATTAGTGACTTTAATCCCCTCCTTAACTGAGAGATATACTAATGGCACTTCCTAACTGTTATAGGGATATCTTATCCTTTAAGGGGGTTGGGCTGAAATGTTTCCTCTGATTTATAAAATTTCCTAGCAGTGCAGAGAGTTAATGCAGAGAGCTCATTCTCTCTCTAGACCTTGCAAGACCTATTGCCTACAATTTATCAACTCATCTAGCCTTCTTATCAAAAATCTGAAACTGAATGTGCTCTTGCCTTTAACAACCTTCCAGGAACACAGTGATAAATGCTACTTTTTAACAGATGACTTTTGTAGACCAATGTAGAACAGGAAAACATTTATCAAAAAAGGGTGATACTGGGGCACACTGATACAAAGAGATGAGAGAGAAAGAAATAGCAATAAAATAGTCCTGAGACAATGTGGTTTTTTTCTCTTTTATTCAATACAATTATATTATCAAGTACTTCAGAAATGTGAAGATATTATTTGGCCCATGTTATGATAATATTTTTAGCCTGCCTAGATATGTATAGGGAGATTTTTTAATATGGTGCATATTGTTTCTTTTTCACAATGATCTTCTAAGACTAGGAAATCAGAAGCCCCATACAAAGAGCATGTGAACATGAAACCTATCACTAAACCAGCGGATTTTGTTTGAAAAATAAACTGTGTAATTTCACTAGGGAAGGGACACAGGGTCCTTTGCAACTATGATAGAGTATGGCCTTCAGAGCTGCAGAGCATGAGGGGAAGATAGGTTCTACCTCTACCTCCACCCCTGGCCCTGATACACCCCAATAAGGAGAAGAGAGGAGCCCCAAAGAGATGTAACTTCTCAAGTTATGAGTTTAGGGCTCCTCTCCAGCTTGGAATATGGCAAGTGTGGATGCATGCAGGGACCTGTCATCGCTCAGGGTGAGTGTACAGCTGCTATTTCCGACCACACAGAAAATCTTGTGCCAGCACTTTCCAGCAAGAAACCAGGCAGGAGCAAGCCATGCAGCAGGTGTTAAGCCAGCTCTCAAATCATAAGGGTTACAAGAAATGTCCAGGAGTGGAGGAGTTGTTATTGCATTTCTTCTTTTGTTGCACAATACTGCTGTAGATTAGTCAGTGATAGATCTGTACGTAGATATGCAGTAGCGAAAGGTCAGTTGGGGTCACTTTGTTTCCCACAGAAAATGCTGACTTCTTGCCCTTGGTATTTTGACAAGTTTGGGCCCATGTGTCTTTAAAAAAAATTATATAATCCAGTCTTTCAAGCATTTAATGAACATGATCCTCCAGTTTAATCTTTGCAGTTTGCCTTGTTTTCAGAAAAAGGGAAAAGTAAAATAAACTATGTTTTGCATGGCTGAGTTTAGTAATCCTAAAAATGTAAGCTTAAAAAAAATGTAAGGATGGTTGAAAGCGTTGTTAAATACACTCTAAGAAGATTATATGTTTATTTCAAAAGAAGCAACCATTTTCTGGTCAAAATTATGCATTTGATAGTTGAGCAAAGCTTATTTCCAAATAAATTTAAAAGCGCAATTGTTAAAAAACAATGGCAAAAAAGAAGTATTGTAGAAGACTGGCTTCAGCAAGTTCTGTTACTTGTTTTAGCAAAAGCATTATTTCCTCCTATTCTTCCTCTCACTGAAAATCAGACATGAAAAACAAAGCAAACAATAGAGATATTCAATTTATCAATATAAATTGGCATGGTACTTCTATAGCTAGCACATAAATTGCATGAGGAAGAAATATACTTTATGTTTGTTCCTCTGTTGAGAAAATGCTGTTTAATTAGTCTGGACTACCACATGAACCCTTTCCCTTCCTTTGGGATATAATGAGGGAACAAGATATAGCATCTGAGGGACTTTTGCCTTTGAAGAACATGACAAGTTTTGAATAAATAAGAATGAAGACATGAACATTACTGTGTACCCTTCTTTTCACTGTGGGGAACTGAACAGGCCCTTCCCTGTGTGGTTGTTTAATTTGATAATTTGTGGAAGTCTGCTCTGGGAGATGGAATGCAATTTATGTGAGCATCCAGGAAATGGGAAGGGAGAGGAGAGGAGAGGAGAGGAGAGGAGAGGAGAGGAAGATCGG